ATGGATTGTCATTAGGGTATTAGTTATTATATCCGTTTCATTTCTCAATATGCTTTTGTATTCATAAGCTCAGCTGTTGTCATTTCTGTTTTGTCAACAGATGATTATGGTCGAGAGATTATTTTGAAAATGTAATATTTGGATTTCCATTCTGTTTAGGTCGTCCGGTGTTTATTGACAAGCAACAGCTGAATTACTTACATTGTCATGGTTACCTTATCAATAGAAAAGGCGGCCAATAATTTGTCTTTTGTTTTTACAAAGAGAAAAAAATGGGTCTGGTTGCTGCTATGCAGTTTGAATAATGCACACATTCTTATACTACATGACATATGTTCGTCTCATCTCTCATATATTAATATAATATACATGACTCCTTTGAAACAATATTACAAGTGATCGAGATGAATGAAATATGCTTTTGTGTTAACCTCGTTAGTTATTCATACTGAATGCCTTCTGTTAAGCTAAACATACTATACTAAACATACTATCAGGCAACTGTGTTGCGTGGCTAAATGTCAAATGTGAGTATACATCGACAGTTGGAAAGTTGTATAAAAGCCTTATTATGTATGGTTACCGAATTTAAATAAATTACTAACCTGTAATTACGATGTCAGTGGAACTGTGGGATACAACAAATCATGTTAAATAGACAGATACACATTATCATCAGCATGGTGGATAAATACGCATCTCACCATTCACTCTTTTGTTTGCATTTTCACAGCTGTTGTTATTATTTCTGCGTCTCTTAACGAATTATAATTATGGGAGATGCGTTTGTTTTGAAATCATGGCATATTTGGTTTTCATTCTTATATATATATATCAAGGTCTAGTGATGTCGTCCTTCATTTTTGGAATAATATCGCGTCAGTGTCTGATTTGCTTGGGAAACTATCGTTATGGTTTTGAGTGTATGTGTATTAACATATCTTTTGCACATGAATGGGTGGTTAGCTAAAATACTTCCAAGGACAGGGAGCCTATATATTGGAACGATTTGACAGAAACCTGCCAACTCGAAATAGTACATTTTGCCGTTGTTGTTTACATGGCTGTGTGGCTATCTTCCCATCATGATGGAAACCAAGCATGGCTGAATACGGACACTTACAGACCATAACTACGCTTTCTCCAATTATCGTTCAATTTAAAAAAAAAATTGTCAGTAATCTTTGACTCGGTAGGATACTTACTACTTAACCCCAGATCAGAATTTATTCAGAACCTACTATAAATGATCTAGCGGAACATTTGTTTACGCTACTGGTGATCGACTGGTTCTTTGTCCATAACACATATGGTTCCAAATAGCTGGGAATTCAAATGTATATCAGGTAAAGAACAAAAATCACGATATTGTATGTTATATACGTATTACGTACGGTATACCATAATTTACATTGGTTGGCCAGTCACGCTGCTATCTCATGTAAAAGTGTAGCATGTAAAAAATATGCCACTGATCATATTTCGTGAGTATTAGTCACATAGGGTCACAGTTAGTCGCATTTGTTCTATTTTTGGCCATTTGAAAAGATTATTCACATTGTTGTAGGAGTATACGTATTTTGTATAGGCTTAGTCACATTGATCCATACCGTCCAGATTTGTTTATACTAAATAATAAACACTGTATGGACACTCTGTCTAATGTTCATCATCGTTAATTCTGCCTTATCATAATGTGCCATGACATTATATACGTTGTCGTTTGAACAATGTTTACTGTAAAACATGTCTTTTTAGCTAGTATTTTATTTTAGCTAATTTAGCTAATCTGTAATTTCGCTAATTCAAGATGCAGCTAATTTAACAGAAAGTATATTATCACGGGGAGACAGTCGACACTTTAGCTAAATTAACATTCTGTTAGTTCATGCCGAGAGTCCAATCCGCTCAAATTGCATGCAGCTATTTCAACGTGCTCTAAAGTATGTCTAATCATAATGTACTATGACATTATATATGTTGTCGTTTTGAACAATGTTTATCTCAGTCATAAATTATGGCTATCACAAAGTTGTGTTATTCTTAGTATTGCTGGAAGATTACATAATATAATTGAGAAGTCGCAGTGCACAGATGTTTGGTTCGAGTTATACATGTCTTATTCTATTTTGTTCAGTAAACGAAACCGGGAGTCATGGTAGGTATCTTAATGACAGGTTTGGTGCCACGTCGAGCAGTCGTGGTGGATTATTTGCAGTTCATCAAGTTTGTATTACAGTTTACGCATAAAATATCAGAAGTAACGCTAACATCTCTTGATATTTCTACTAAAGGTCGATTTTAATACAGTATAACACATCCCATCCTACTAAATTCAAAAGTTTCTACATCATTTTCATAATGATACGTCGAATTTGTAGTGATAATACAGACTGTCGGGATCAGGCTAACAATGTATGTAATCTATTTCATATACAGGGTGCTATTTTCGTAGGGTTACTCAAGTGATGTCAATTTTGAAACCGGATTATATTACTTCTAATGGTTCCCATGGTAACGAAGATCGTACTCTACTAGGTGTCGATCATCAAATATAATGTACAGACATTTTTGAGGACATTATAGAATGCAGTCATGGTCATGTTGTCGTGTCATATTTTCCGATTATGATTTAGTCATGAAAACATTGTTTTCAAAATATTTTCTTGAGATTCGATCTCTGATGGATTTTTTTTTTCTGTATCTCAATGTTCTTTCTCTTTTTCACCACTCACTGCCTATGTGCAAACAGTGGATAGAGGGCGCTCTTCCATATAACAGGATGGTCAGACTCAAATACATATGCTGCGAGCCTGCCTGGCAGGTTGGTAGGTTGGTAGGTAGGTAGGTGGGGTGTATGTTTTTGGCACAACTGAGTGTGCGGCCGCCATGGGAGTAGAACCCACAATCTTCCTGTTGATGGTCGATGATAACTATTAGGCAACGAATCAGGCACAGTCAGCTGGTATCGGTGTCGCTGGCTGTATAATAATAAAGATAATTTATTGCATCCTTAGAAATACAGTGTTTCCATCAGTTTATAGCAACAAAAGTAAGATATTAAAAAGAAAATAACAAAATAACTATAGAAAATAATAAATGATAGATTTTAGTGTTTTGTTAAGTATCTTTCTCGTTTTTCATTAAGAACGAGCTGTGTATAAATTCTCCAACAAGTTTGATTACATTTGTGTTAGAATTTTTCATTAAGTATGTAAATTTCTGTTGGTCAGTTTTTGTTTCATCAGGAAACTGTATATTTGAGAATATATCCATTCGCAGTGTGTTATATTTTGGGCATTTGATTAGGAGATGCATTTCATCTTCTATGTCTGCTAAAGTACATTGTTTACAAATCCTGTTTCCCAAAGAAATTTTAGTTTGGGTATGTCTACCCTTTTCTATTGCTAGGCTGTGATTACTTGTTCGGAATCTAGAGACAGAAATTCTATGTTTTAGATTCAGTATAATTAAGTAACTTTCAAAGTTGTAGTTTGTTTTGAATTGAGTATATGTTATACCTCTCTCTCTACCCTCTATTATATACACACAGCGACACCGATGCCGCCTGACTGTGGAATCAGGCATATTTGATAGAATGGTCTCTCATTCTTGCAGTTCTCGCATCTGCT